TAGCTGTGCTTTATTCATTTCACAATAACATATGTGATATGTCCCCGTTCAGTAAGTTGCCGGCTGGCTGATATATGAGGGCTGTCCAGAAATTCTCCAGCCATGTAATATGTGCTCATTATATTGACAATGGCTGGATACTTTCTGGACAACCCTTGTGTGTGTGTGTGTGTGTGTGTGTGTGTGTGTGTGTGTGTGTGTGTGTATGTATAATGTTAAGGAAATATTCACCAATTTGTATTTTATTGAGTTTTATTAGGAATGGATGTTGAATATTGTTAAATGACCTTTCATCATCTATGGAGAGGAATAAATGAGTTTTTTCCTTAGATTTATTAATATAGTGAATTATATTAACGGATTTTCTTATACTGAACAATCCTTGCATTCCTGAAATACACACCACTTGGTTATGCTTGATTCTGTTAGCTAAAGTTTTATTTCATATTTTTACATTGCTATTTAGAAGTGATATTGGTCTGTATTTCTTTGTGTAGTCTTTATCAGATTTAAGTATCGTTGTTATTTTGCTCCCTGAACATGAATTTGGAAAATTATCCTTTGTTTCTATGATTTCAAACAGTTTAAGTAGTTTGGGGATTTTCTCATTTGTATCCATGGATTTTAATTTATAGAGGTGGCTATGTGACAACACAAAGAGGTCAATGCCATTGAAAGAATTATTTATTACTTGTATTCCTGAGATAAGGGGGCACACCACACCTCGTAGGTCTACAGAGGAAGCACCAAATTTGGTCAGGAGGCAGAAGCAGGAGCTAAAGGAGAGCCTATACCAGAGCCTTTATTGGAGTTTTCACAGGAAAGGAAAGGCAAGGTAGAGTAAGCAGTTTATATTGACTAGGTTGAATAATTTTGGCGGGCTTTGCAGCATGGGAACTATCCCTTGTTGTCTGATACATGGTCCTGGGTTGATTTAGAGTGGGGAAATTATTGGCTTGATGTGCAAAAAAATCACTTTACGATTGGCTTACATACAAGAAATGTGCTCCCAAGTAAGTTTACCACCTTTAGAAATCAGCTGGCCCTGGGAGAGGTAGTCACTATCTGGATCTGTAATCGTGTCCTCCCACTTCCCTCCCAAGGTATCAAAACATCCTAAGATGCAGAAAATAAAAAACATGATTAATACAGGAGTTATCTGGTTTTTGAAGGTGTGGTGGAATTACTCATTGTACTGGTGCTTTTTGGTGAGATACCTTTGATAACTTTCTCTATTTTTGTCTGTAGATTTTGGTTTTGTTTAAACTTTTTATTCCTACTAGAGTCAAATTTAATACATTTTCATATATTACTATAATTCTATGTTTAGTATATTTTCCTAGAAAAAAGCTATGAAAATTAAATAACTTGTTTTTGTATTTGTTGGTCCACTTTTTTTCCTAACTCATTAATACACTTTCTC